ATGTTCCAAGAAGACATCATTGAGACAAGTCAAAGTGAGTGGAGTTTGTCAATTGTGTTGGTAAAACCTGATGGTACTCAACGATTCTGCATAGATTAGCGGAAGGTCAACACTGTGACCAAATCTGACTCATACCTAATTCCAAGGCTGGAGGACTGTGTAGAAAATGTCAGACAAGTCATATAAATTACAAAGTTGGACTTACTTCATGGTTACTGGCAAGTAGCTTTGTCGAAGAGAGCAAAAGAAGTTTTTGCTTTTGTAACCCTAAATGGGCTATATCAATTTAAAGTAATGCCCTTTGGGGTGAAAAACACACCAGCCACTTTTCAAAGGCTTATGAACAGAGTTGTTGCATGATTGACAAACTGTACTGTCTGCATAGATGACTTAGTGATCTTTAGCCACTTGCGGAAAGATCACATGAAGCATTTGGCAGAGCTCTTTGAGAGACTATGGAAGGAAAAGTTGGTCATAAATTTAGCAAAAGGAGAATTTGTGAAGGTAGAAGTGACATTCTTAGGGCACAACATCGGATACCAACAGATGACGCCAAGGAACATGAAGACAAAAGCCAACGAGGAATTTCCATGACTGTCCTCAAAAGAAGGAAGATTTTTACGATTGAGTGGATTCTACAGGAAATTTGTACCAAATTTTAGTAGTGTAGTGGCACCGTTGACAGTTTTTTTTTAGAAACACAAAATTTCAGTCAACAGAACAATGCCAGGAGGCAAATTAGAATTTAAAAGCAGTGTTAACCACCATATCCATTTTAGCCATGCCAAATGTTTTGAAAACCTTCAAAGTAGCCATCGATGCAAGCAATGTACATGTTGGAACTATGCTTTTACAGGAGGATGATTGTGCAATTCAAAGGCCAATTGGTTATTTTTCAAAACAAAACTCAATATCCACCAGAAAAAATATTCAACCATTGGAAAAGATTTATTGACTTTGGTAATGGTCATCCAATATCTTAATGTTTACATTACAAACAATGCATCAGAGACAATTGTGTTTACCGATCACAATCCTTTGACATTTTTGGAAAGATTTAAGGACAAGAACACCAGATTATTTCATTGGAGTCTCATATTACAAGCATTTAATTTACAGATTGTACATGTTGCGGGTCATGAAAATATTACCGTTGATGCTTTACCACGAGTTAAAAAGAAAAATGCTTACATAAGATAGAAACGATGGTGTTCAATGTTACACATAAATCAAATTAGTATAAAATGTGTAACTTTAAATTAATGAGCTACGGATCCAGTAATATAATGAAGTTAAGGATTTTTTTTAAAAAATAGAAAAATAAGAAGCCATCTTTTCATAATGATTGTTCATTTTCTTTCTTAAGGGGAGAGGTGTTGCGATGTTGGCTACAGCATTTGTGGATTGGCAGGCAGGAAGGTAGAATTTGGTGTCTTAAAATGCTAAGGGGAAAAGCATTGCCTGGTCCTTTTAAAAGATCATGTGCTTTTTCTCTGCTTAGAGATTTAAAATGGATGTCTGTGAGCAGCAGCTTGAAAGTTTGCAAGTACACAGAGAGCACCTGAATTGAAACGTTTGTATCAAAAGTGGTACAGTTAGCAGGCCAAGCAACAGTTTTTACTAAGATAACAGGCTTTTGAATTTAGCCAATCAATTTGAACCAGGTACTTAGATACCAAAAACCTATTAATTTTAAGTCTGATGGTTTTGACAACATAGGACCAATCCTATTGTAAGAAATATTGATATGTCATCAAGGGTTTAAAAGGAGGGGACAGTTGGTCAAAGACCCCAGAGCTATCTGCCATTTGCCAGAGCTGAGACAGAGAACGTACATAACATTCCGGAACATACATAACCTGGCTATAATTTTGAGAGACTAAATTTTTTTTTTGTATATAAGTGGGACTTGTATTTATTGGAATGGCATACCATTATAATTTTGCTTTATTTGGGAATAATTAGTAGTTAGAAGGGATTTATTTGGTTTGTTACTAGCTTAGTCAATTTGTTCATTGTTAGCTTTAGATAAATTTTCACTTGTTGATTGTAAAGTGAGTCAGGGATTTATTTTATTTAACCACTAGAAGTTGCTGAAAAGCTGGCTACACCACTTTTCACATTCCTTTTACAGATTATGGGGCAGGTGCTCCTCTTTGGGTGTTTCAGTTTTAGTTCTCAGAGGGGGTCAACCTCCGTTTTATAACACTGGACACTGGGCAACAACATCTCTGTGCATGATCAAGGGCATTGACTCCTTCTCCATGGACATTGACATCAGGCATTTGCCAACCCATCACAACTATCCTGGCACTTTTACAATTCACTGGCTGTGCATTTTGTTTGCACAGACTTACATTGCAGCATGCACCAGCAACTAGCATTGAAAGGCTGAAGTGAGAATGGGACAGGCACCCAGCTCGTAGACTGGACCAGGCTGCATGTCAGGGCTGCTCACGTGCTCTGTTAGCACTGACTCACATAGTACATTCGTTAATGCTTATAACATCCCTCCCTTGTCTAGCAGTGCCAATTTGCATAATCACAGAAACAGGCACTTGCCTTGTTGGCAACTGTCCTCAGTCTAGGGTGTGCACATCTTGCTGTACGACAGTATGCTATGTCAATTTCACACCTGCACTATGTGTCAGCAGTTCACACATAACTCTAGGGGTGTAGTCTTCATTGAAGTTCTTGAGGCACCCTTGAGTCAAGGGATCCCAGCAAAGTACATCAAGGACAGCCTGTAATATCAGCCCATGGAACTGGCAATGGTTATGTAAATGGTCAGGGTGTTTTCAGGCAGAGGGTTCATGCCTCTTCAGCCTAAGGAGTTGGTCACAGTCAGTCCATTGGCTCCATAGCAGCAAGGCTGGAATGGTAGAGCTAATACAGTTGGGGAGATACTTATGCACCAGTCAGGGGTCTGGGAACATATTACACAGGACTATCCAGCCATGTCAATTGACAGGATGGGCCCCAGTTAACCAATCAAGTCCATCCACAGAAACTAAAGGGGAAAATCAATTGCAACCATTGCCAAGAGACTGAACCTCAGGACATTAGTCTTCAGTTCTGAGGTCAAGGGTGCTTGCCCCTTCTGTCACCCTGCCCACAGTTCTTAAGAGCAACGGAGTGCAGGTGTGTGGTCGTGTCCAGCAGCCCCTGAAGGTGCTGGATATGGCTGTCCATGGCAGCCACTGACCTGCCAACAGAAGCAGGCAAATATGATTTGCTGTGCCGATGCACCTTCTTTGCAATGAGGTCCATTATGTCTTGTTTGCCTGTCTGCTCCTGCTGCTCTGTCATCTGCATTCAGATGATGTCTTTGATTGCTGACTCTACAGAGTCAGTTTTTGCTTGTGTTGAGTCGGTGGCTAGTATCTGGCAGTCCTCCAAGTGCTCATCTCTACTTACAATTGTGAAGATAGTGGTGAGTTGCTTTCTTGCACTGCTTCAGTTTATCTGATGTGGGCACACCAACAGTGCTGTTCTGAAGGAAGTTCTGAATTTTTGACACAGTGATATTGGTCAAACAGCATTTTTATTCCAAATCAGTGTTAGTGTGTGACTTTGGAAGATTATGTGGTGGTGATGTTCTCCTACAACTGTTGCACTTGTCCTTCACCGCACTTGATAGAGGTAGGTGGATTTAGATAGTGCAGGCAAAGGAATTCTGATGAGTTTCTGCCTTGCATTTTGTAAATTGCATTTACTGCTGTCACAACGTACTGAGGTGGGGAATGAATGTTGAAGGTAGTTGTTTGTGTTGATGCTGTACAAATGTCACTTGATAACACTGTTGCCAACATTGTCCAAAACATCGCTGATGATTGACAGAAGATGGATAGGGTGGTAATTTGACAGGTTGGATTTGTCATATTTGTTGTGGATTGGACATACCTGAGCAATTTTTCATTTTAACAGATAGATGCCACAGTTCTAACTGTATTATATCATTTTGACTAGGGACGTGGCAAGGTTTGGAGCAAGGTCTTCAATACAGCTGCTTCCTTGTCTCCAGGATCACTAATATTAATATTAAGTAACTCTGGCCCATGTTACCCCTAGATTATAAGTGTAGATCTACACTGGATACTTACTCACTTAAATTCATGAAACTTACACAAGCTGCTCTTTTGCATGGTGATGGGTTTGCACTAAAGAGAAGCTGAGAATTTGGGAAAGTATCTCTTGAAAACACAAAAATTATCCTGGAAATTCATGTATAGCAACATGTAGGTGTTTTATTGTTTTTTATATTTCTTCACCAGTAAAATTGGCCCTATTCCTGTCTTATGCTGCAATAACACAGAAACCCTACTTAGTCTTGAAAAGGAAAGTCTGAAGTGGCAACCAGACTCCCTTCCTACAGCAAAGAACTGCACTCCAACTGAAAGCATTTTTTTTTTAAAAAGGAGAACTTGTGGAAGCCATTTTTAAATGTATTCATGGGATATGGGCATCACTGGTATTTATTGCATATCCCTAATTGGCTAGAGGATGGCTAAGAGGCAGACATTTTGCAGTGGCTCTAAAATAACATGTAGACCTCACAGGGTAAGGGTGGCAGCTATCCTTCACAAAAGGACATTAGTGAACTAGACTTAGTTAAAGAGCTGTACAACAGTCAGTTTTAACAGCAGGATTAATTGTATTGTTATTTCTTTCTTTGGAGGAAAGACGTGGTCATAATGTCACTGGGCGAGTAATGCAGAACACCAGGTTAATACTCTGGGTACGTAGATTTGGGTCCCGTCATGCAGATAGTAAAATTTGAATTCAATAAAATTTTAGAAACATGGAGAAGAGAAAACACCACTGTGGGTCATATCACGTAAGGTGCAGAAACACATGGAAGCGAATGGCTCGTTTGTGCCTAAGAACCGGAAACAGTGTTTTCCCAAGATGGAGGTTGTGAAACCGCTCTATTCCCGAGCCTATGACCGGAAGAAACTGGCCGTAAGGCGGAAACGGAAATAAATTATTGCAAAATGGTGTACGTGTCCAACGGTAAGACAGTGGCGGCGTCGATAGTGGGTTTTAAAACTGCGTTTGATGAGGTTGTAGGGGAATGGGGGAATGTATCTGATGGAGAGTGACAGTAAGTGACTGTGTTTAAACTGAGTGAGTGTGTTTAAACTGAGTGAGTGTTCTCTCTTCAGTCTTTCCCCACCTCCCCCCACCCCCGTATCAGGTGTAACCTTGTCGGGGAAGGGAGAATGTCGCGTCGCTCATTTCACCTACACCGTTAATGATAGATGGTGTCTACCTAATAACTGAACCCTTCTGTGCAGTTTAAACCGGGCTGCGCAAGAGAAGGGAGAGACTGATGTAGGTTAACATCTGGGTTAACCTCTTGACATCCAGCAACAAGAGTCAGTGGAGTATTTGATTAGGGTGACACGACGGACTGTGACGGCGACGATGACGTAGCAATGTTGGACATCAGTGCAGCAAGCAGATAAACCTCAGTTTGATGTTTGATCTTTAAAAACAAAAGCCTTGATTTTAGTCACGTCTGGGTGGGATTGGTCCCTGAGTGATAAGTAAACGTGCATGTCAAGGCTCGGTGAGATTTTGATTCCTGCGCTCATTTAAATGTTCGCGACTCCTGCGAGAGCGTGAGAGATAGTAGGAACTGGCAATGCTGGAGAATCTGAGAATAACAAGGTGTAGAGCTGGAGGAACACAGCAGGCCAAGCAGCATCAGAGGAGC